GTATATCACTCACTTCAGGAAAATGAAGGGAAAGAGTGGCAACATGATCCTAAAAATAGACCTAGAAAAGGCCTTTGATAGGCTGGAATGGTCTTTTATTAAAGACACTCTGGATGCCTTCAACTTCCCCAAGGTCTTATCCAAACTCATCATTTCATGCATCAGTACATCCTCTATTTCCATTCTTGTCAATGGGGGAAATCAGTGTCTTTCAAACCCTCAAGAGGCATCAGGCATGGTGACCATATGTCTCCCTACCTATTCATCATGTTCATGGAAAGACTTTCTAGATCCATTGATAAGGCAGTACTACATAACCAATGGCACCCCATAAGTATAAGTAGGTCTGGACCAAAAATATCACACTTATTCTTTGCGGATGACCTTACCCTCTTTGCCAAAGCAAATGACAGGAACTGCAATACCATTCTTTCAATATTGCAGAACTTCAATAAACAATCAGGACAAAAAATAAATCTCACCAAATCAAGAGTCCTATTTTCTTCCAACACCACTCAAGATACCCTTCAACATCGCACCAATCATCTATCCATTAGGCATACAATATCCTTTGGAAAATATCTGGGATTTCCCATTTTCCATAAAAAGCAATCAGCTGCAGACTTCTAATTTATCATTGACAACATGCAATCCAAGTTGGATGGTTGGAAAACCAAATGCCTTAACATGGCTGGAAGAACAATACTGGCCAAGACCTCTTTACATGGCATCCCAAGTCATATTATGCAATACATAAGTCTACCCATCAAAGTCACCAATCAGATTGATAGAATTCAGAGGAATTTCCTTTGGGGCACCACCCCTGAAAGAAAAAAGATGCATCTGATTAAGTGGGAGGTAGTCACTAAGACCAAGGCAGAGGGAGGGCTAGGGCTCCAAAAGGCTAGTATCAAGAACAAAGCTTCTCTCACAAACCTAGCATGGAGAGCTTATAAAAATACCAATAGTCTATGGGCTAGAGTGCTTATTCACAAATATTGCAACATGTCTAGACCTGTTAATGCATTTAGACACCCTAAACATCCAAAATCCCCAACCTGGAAGAGCATTCTACAGGGATGGGAGATATGCAACAAAGCAAGCAGATGGGTAGTCAACAAGGGGAATAGAGTTAGTTTTTTGAATGACACTTGGATCCCAAATTAGCCTGCAATCAGGCACATGATAGAAGGCCTTTTAACACAAAACAACCTTCAAGCCAAGGTTAACTCAATTCACAACCTGGGCAATTGGGATACCTTAGCCTTGTCCATTAATATCCCCCTAAGTATTCTGAGCCTCCTGAACTCTGTATTCATCCCAAATGCTACAACCAAGGAGGATAATCTTATATGGGATTTGACTCCTAATGACCAATTCTCAAACAGCTCTGCTTACTCCTTCCTAAGCAGGACTACAACCAACCTCCCTGTTGGGGAAGAAGCACCCTTCAAATGGATCTGGAAGCTTCAAGCACCCAACAAAATTAAATACTTCATCTGGCTCCTGATCCATAAAAGACTCCCAACTAGGAGCTTCCTCCACTCTATTGGAATCATCTGTGTCCCCCAATGTCACTACTGTAACAATGATTAGGAAGACATTGCCCACATTTTCTTTGAATGTCCCAATGTTGTCCATTTTTGGAATGACATCCTATCCAAATCCATAGGAAATACTTCAAATCACCCTGTCTTCAATAGACATCTGTGGCAATCCACATGGAACTCTCTCAAAATTGTCCCTTACAACAAATGCATCTGTTGGGACAACATCTTTCCCTTTTGTCTATGGCACATCTGGCTAACAAGAAACAACAATGTTTTCAACAATAGGAAAGAATACATCAATGACAATAACACAATCTCAAAAGCAACAGAGTACATGATGCTTACAAAGAATGACTCAACAAAGGTAACCCCCACCCAGAAGTTCCTACAAACTGAATACAGATAGAGCAGCAAAGGGAAACCTAAGAATAGGAGGTTCAGGGGGAATATTCAGAAACCACAATGGAGAATGGATATTGGGCTACATGGCCAATATACCCCAAGCAACAAATACAAGGGCAGAAGTCCAGGCCTCATTCGGGGTCTACAGCTAGCAGAGCAAAACAATCTAGTTCCACTGGAAATAAACACTGATTCAACAGAAACAATTAATATGCTATTGAATGACAATCTGATTTTTGACCCTCTAATTTGTGAATGCAGATCAATCATCCAAAGGATGGGCAGAGTAGTGGTGGGGCATATTTACCGGGAACAGAGTAGTTGATGCGTTGGCTAAGGAAGCAACAAAGGAGATATTTTTGAACAAATCTTTGACATTATCAGTTCCTCCGATATTTGCTAATGATGTATTTTGGGCAGACATCCTAGGAACTGAGCTAGTTAGGTCTTTTGTGGATTGTAACCTAAATACAATTATGCAAAACATTTCAACTATGGGATCTTTGAGATACCCCAGTAATGTCCAAGTGTAGTTCCTTCTGTTAACTAGTATAAATATAATATCCATTTTACCAAAAAACAAGTGAGTCATTATACCAAAGTATGCTTCAATTGACACAATAATAAAAATAAAATAAAACTAAAAATTAATATAATCATACTTTATTAATTTAAAATTCTAGTTCACTTTTATCAAAAGATATTAATAACCCGTTTAGCCAAATTTCTAAAATCAACTTAAGAAAAATATTTTTCTCAAAAGTATTTTTTAAAAAAGCACTTTTAGAGCCTGTTTGAAAAACCACACATGAATTGGATTTGAATGTAATTGGATGTAATTATACAATTTGACATATTTGTCTCAAAAAGTAATTGCCTGGTCATCATGATATTGGATGTAATTAAACGGGGGTAATTACACTCCTCAATTCTCAAGGGAAAGGTGAGAATTGATGGTAATTACACTATGCAATTACAAGGTAATATAATTTTTTCTTTTTCATTTTTAAATATATTTAGTATTATTCTTTTACGCCATTTCTCTTATTCATATTTTTTGACCTTCCAATGTATTTTGATATAATTTTGCGACTTTTCATATTTTATTTCTTTCTTTTACAATTTTTATTTATTTTTTATTTGTTAAATACAATTCATATTTTACTAACTTTATTTTTGCTCATCAGTATAAATAATTATTAAAAAATAATACCTTCTAAATTCATGTTTATACTTTTGCAATTTAAACAATCAAACAAATCATAAATATTATACTATATTCATATGAGTTAGTAAAAAATTAAATTCATTGACTGAATTATTAGATTTTATGCTATATTTATTCTACCTATATTATTAATTATTCATATATTCTATCATGTTGGCATGACATTGCGATTTTTAAATTATTCACCAAACTTCACTATATTGGCATGACTTTGTATTACCTACATTCGACGCATTTATTAAATTATTCACAAATACTATTCGGCTGTCATAATTTTGTGCATATTCAACCGTTCACTCAATTCTACCAGATTGGCGTGACCTTGTGTTATCTGCAATTGACCTATAAAAAAAATTATTCATCAAAATCTATCCGATTGAAATGATTTATTTGTGTCATTCAACAAAGGGTTTTTGGAATTTGCAATTTCAATTTCTATCAAACCACCTCAGGTCTGCTCAAAATAATCTCAAATTAAAAACAAAGTCTCGAAATATCAACATAAACTATGCAGTTACCAATTTAATCAAATAATACCAAATCAAGAATATCTATTTTGTCTTCTTCAACATTTTCTGATGACCAATAATGATGTTTTGAGATATTTAAAGACTAAAGTGTATATGAACTAAACATTTAAGTATGAATTATCAATATTCAAATGATTTTAATAGTATCATTATCTTCTAGTTTTTACCCTCCAAATAATAATTTTAAGCTTTCAATATTGAAGAACTATGATATTTTTGGTGAAGAAGAAGCCTATTTTGCAATAAAATTACAAAATGGAAAACAATATTTAAAGACAAACCCTTAGGGAGACACCTGGTGCAATTTTGTGACATAATAAACACAGATTATGAGTTAATTTATGTGTTACTTATGTGGAGTAGAAGATGAAATAATTAAACTCGAAAATAATTAAACCTGACATACCTAATCTCTATATTACTTATTCTTGCATAACTAACTTATGCATTACTAATACCAGCATAAAAATGACCCCTTAGTGCAACCTCAATTTACCCCCTTTAGTGTCCTTTCTCGTTCCAACTCAACACCTTTCCTCCATTAATCGGCGAGTGAATGAATACTCCTCCCTTACTTCTCTCTATATCTCTGCGGTTGTGTTTAGTATCTCTTTTTTCTTCTCACTTTTTAGCTTTATTACTTTTTTTTCTTCTTTACTATACAAAATATCTTAATTTTATACTCCATCATACCTCCATCATACTTTAAAATCATTCTATTTTAGTGTTAATATATATCATTTTTAATTTTTATAGAGCACCAACATGATAGTTTTAAATTATAGTCAAAAGGGCGCATATACGAGTAATCTTAAAATATAATAGAGGTAATTTAAATTTTCATTTTTCATAAGAAGTTTGAATATTTAAAGAGAAAAGAATCAAATTTGTTCATGTAGTACTTGAAATTTATCATATTTGCCCTTTGTTTGATTTCTATTGTTATATTATTCTTGCCATTAGGAAAATCTCTTTTTGCCCTTCACCCACTAACAGAACTTTAACGTGTCTTTCTCGAAGTATATAGACACATGGAGCCTATCCGTTGCAGTGATAAGAATAAATACGAGATAATTTGCTAATTATAAAGTTATAGTAGACAAAAATGAAATAAAAAATAAAATTGAATAACAAATTTAGACCTTTTCCTTTTTGAAATGAATTTATTGGAAGAACTTCACATTTTTTAAGTAAATTTATGCAATGAAAATTCACATTAAACAACTTATTAGCATATATAATTCTTTTTTCCTCTCCTTCTTCTTCTTCTCTCCCTTTTTTTTCATTTAAAAAAAATATTTCCTAACATGGAGAGGAAATAGTACTACCATTGACCAAATCAAAATTAGAAAGAACACACAAAGCACACAGAAATAGGAAAATTCCAATTACCTTCTCCTCCCTCTCTCTTTCTCTTCAATCCTTCAATATCAGGGAATGGGAGAGACTAGCAATTCATCAGATTTCAAAATTTTCATTCATTAATTCATTCATTACATACATAGAATATAGCTATACAGATTCATTTCACATACAAAAGTGTGTGTGTTTTTGCCTTGAGACTGGTTCAAGAATCCCTTTTTTGTTTTCCATTTAATATGGGGTTCAGCAAGTTTTGTTTTTGAGGAAAAGGAGAAAAAAGGGTCTCTGAAAATATTATCAAGATATTTAAATTTGCTGTATTTTTGGATCTAATAGTGACAACAACACCGTTGTATGATTCAAGAATCCTTATTTTATCTTCCATTTTTATGGGGTTTAGCAAGTTTTGATTTTTAGGCAAAGGGGAATAAAGGGTGTCTGAAATATTATAAAGATTGTTAAATTTGCTATATTGTTTGATCTGATGTTGACAAAAATAGCGTCATTATATTTGGATTGTTTAAGGATTGAGGTGGTTGGATTGGGTGGTGACTGGTGAGAGGAATAGGGAAAGTTAAAGTGGAGAAGCAGGGAGGAAGAAGAGATGCAGCTGCACTTCTCACCTAGCATGAGAAGTATAACAATATCGAGCAGCAATAGCAATGGAGGGTTTGGTGAATTGATGAAGATCAAAGTAGCAGCTCGCCACTTCTCCTACAGAACACTATTTCATACAATACTTATCTTAGCTTTCTTGTTGCCATTTGTCTTCATTCTCACTGCTGTTGTTACCCTTGAAGGTGTCAACAAGTGCTCCTCATTTGGTACTTTAAAACTACTCTCTTTCCCATTATGATAATTTTTGGATTGAGGTATAGTTGTTTTAGTTGTTGTTGTTGTTGTTGTTGATGATGATGATGATGATGATGTTATTTCCATTATGTTAATGTGAGCTAGATCATCCATTGACCTTGCAATTAGCTTGCTGATCCTGATGTTTTTTGCGCCGTTCCTGATTCCTTTTGATTGGATTTCATGTCCTTTTCTGATTGTTGATTAGCTTAAAATTTATTAGAGTTGAATTGCAATTATGCTTTCTAGGAGTGGTTTAACCTTCGGAGACCTCTACGTTTAGAATGAGATGATTTAAATGGAGTAACGTGGTCAGTGAAGATTCATATAACCGACCCCAACTTGTTTGAGGCTGAGCCATTGTTGTTTGTAGAGCTGAATTGGGATTCCTTTTTTTTGTTGACTAATTTCATCAGCAATGTAGCCGACCTCATCTAGTTTGGGATTGAGGCACACTTCTTGTTGTTATTGTTCATCAATGACGCAGTAAAGTCATTTTTATTTTTTAGTTTGGATCGTTTTGGATGATATTGAAGTCGTGTTGATTACTTTGACATTTGGATTGTGTAAAGTATGGGGAAAGTTGAGTTCTTTCTTTCCCTAGCTTAGTCAAGTCTTCAGCTTGATGGCAAATGCACCCTTAAAAGGAAAGGATGGAGATACTCATAATAAAAACTTATTGCAGTCCTTGACATTTCTTTTTGTGTCATTTTACAAATGTTTACCATTTCAAAAGGATTATGTATGTACTTTTGTTCTTTTGGTGGCAAAGACTTGATTGGGTTCAAATCATGGATGTCTATGCGTGCAAGAGGACTGAGGGTTGTTATTTTTTTTTTTTGGTTTGTGGTATTTCTTAGAGTCTAGAAAAAGGTGGTTTCTGGCACATGTAGCCTAAGTATCTGCTCATTGCATCGACTGATCTTGTCTTTCAGTTTCTCTTGGATGTCTTTGAATGCTATTTTTTCTGTTCTGTAGTGAAGAAAAAGAAGAAGCTTTTCCTGGTCAGATTCTTTTGGGGTTTGGGACCCACATTAAAGTACCAGTGTGTGTAAGAATCCTGTTTGGTCTGTGTTGTTGGATTTAGTTATGATGCTTGTTCTTGCTGCTTCTTTTGGTTGCTCAATTTTACTTCTGTATAGTTAAATCACAGCGCCACCTTTCACTGTTACAATTTAACTAACATCGTGACAAACCTTAACTTCATTCTTTATTCATTGATATATTCAGATTGTTTAGGCAGACGATTGGGACCAAAGCTTCTTGGACGTACTGATGATTCTAAGGTAAATAAACTTCCCTCTGTATCATTTGTTGCTGGTTTGTAGTGCCAATGATTTTCAATCCTGTATTAAGCATTTATCTAGTAATGCAGAATACATTTCCTTAATCCAAGCCTTTATCGTTCATTGCTATTTCAGCAGAGGTTGGTTAAGGATTTTGTTAAGATCCTCAATCAAGTGAATTCTGAAGAAGTGCCAGCTGGCCTGAAGCTCCCAGAGTCTTATAGTCAACTTGTTTCTGAAATGAAAAATAACAAGTACAGTGCAAAAGAATTTGCTTTGATGCTGAAGGGAATGGTATGTGCAAATAACTGTTCTTCTCCATTTTTCAATTGTTCGTGACTTCATGTTCAATTGATTTATTAACTTGGCCTGTTCATTTGGCTTTATGACACACTTGCCTCCAGTCCCCACTTTGTTTTTGAGTGGCACAATATTTGCGGAGAATCCCTTCTTCTTGTTAGGCATGGGTTTGTTGTTCTTGTGATTGAGCAAAATGATTCATATTGTTATCTTCATTTTCATGCTTCGTGATGATTCGTGTTGTTATCTCCCTTTGTTCAATGAGCTTGTGAATCACTTTTAGGTTGATGTTTAGTATTGTTTCCTTTAATGCTTTTGTATGCATTGTGATGAAGTGTATGTACCTCATAGCTCATTTTTGCTTCATCTAATAATTTACTATTTTGCAGATGGATAGATCTGAAAGGGAGATCAGGGAATCAAAATTTGCGGAGCTCATGAATAAACACTTTGCTGCAAGTGCAGTTCCAAAAGGCATTCACTGTCTTTCGCTGCGGTTGACTGATGAGTACTCATCTAATGCTCATGCACGCAGACAGTTGCCTTCACCAGAGCTACTCCCTCTGCTTTCTGAGAAGTTGTTGCACCATTTTGTATTGTCAACTGATAATATCCTAGCTGCTTCAGTTGTGGTCAATTCTGCTGTGCGGTCATCTCTAAAGCCTGAAAAAATTGTTTTCCACGTCATCACTGACAAGAAAACATATGCAGGGATGCACTCCTGGTTTGCTCTGAATCCTGTCTCTCCCGCTATTGTGGAAGTTAGAGGTATTCATCAGTTTGACTGGTTAACCAGAGAAAATATTCCAGTGCTTGAAGCAGTTGAGGGCCATTATGGTATTCGGAAATACTACCATGGAAATCATGTACTAGGGGCCAATCTCAGTGATACTAGTCCACGATCTTTTGCCTCAAAACTACAGGCTAGAAGTCCAAAATATATTTCCTTGCTCAATCATATTCGAATATATTTGCCAGAGGTAACACTTTGTCTGACATTATTGCCTTCTATTTTTGCGATGGAATTTGAAGGATGAAATAGTGAAGTCCAAAAGCCTTACATCCTTTCCTCTCACTGGCATATGTACATATGTACTCTATTGGGTGACCCCTGGTTTTGGTCTAATCCACCCACGACATTTGAGGCTTAATTAACCTTTTATTTTATTTTTGTTTATCTGTTATAGACACATGACTGGAGCTTGTAGAACTTCAGTTTAATGCTTATCCAAATTATAGTGCTAAAGGGTACAGATTTTTGTGCTCCACAAATCATTCACATTTCATGTGCAGTATGCAGCTAATAGGATTGGATTTTCTAAGTTTTGTATAGAACTACATTACACATGTAACCTAGCAATTTCAAGGCTTATTCCAGATTCGATCCCGAAGCAGTATGGACAAACAATATCAGCCCCAGATCTGAATTTGTTGTTGAGCCAATATCTTAATTTTATGTTGTGAAATGCTATTTTGAAATGCCCCCTAATACTACAAATGCTGCAGCCAGTGACACTTTTCTTTTTGCCTTTTTCTCCTTGCTGTTAGCAAGTTTTATTATTTAATTCTTTCACGTAATTCCCACCTCTAGTTTGTGTAGATATACGGTTCTTTTTCCCAATACTAATCTGAGATTCTATATGCAGCTCTTCCCAAACCTTGATAAAGTGGTTTTCTTGGATGATGATGTTGTAATTCAGCGCGACTTGTCTCCATTGTGGGACATTGACCTTAAGGGAAAGGTGAATGGAGCTATTGAGACTTGTAAAGGAGAAGATGAGTGGGTGATGTCAAAGAGATTCAGAAACTACTTTAACTTTTCTCATCCTCTCATAGCAAAACATTTGAACCCTGAAGAGTGTGCATGGGCTTATGGGATGAACGTCTTTGACTTACATGCATGGAGAAAGACAAATATAAGAGACACTTACCATTCATGGCTTAAAGAGGTAGTCCGATCCCGCATGCTTAATGATATTTAACTAATTTTCCAATTTGACATACAAACCAATAAGTGAATGCTTAATGAACGTCTTTGGATTAGTTTTCTAATCATGCAATAGATGTAGTTATTTAGCATTCAATGAATTGACTTTTTTCATTTCTTGTATGCTTCTTGCTTATGTATCTTGTCTAATTTGTGACTTATTCAGCTTTTCCTCCTGAAATTTTCTTCTCGATAACACTAGCACGTGCTAATTCAGCATTCACTTCTTGGTTTGTATGCTTTTAAATTTACTATTCTACTTTCCTGTTTTACGTTAGAACTTTTTTTTTTAAATTAATAGGTTTAAAAGCTGTAATTTTTATGTTCAAGAGTTCTTTGTTGTTTGTAATTGTCGCTGTCTTTAACTATTGAAGATACAAGCTGCATGAAAGCAGGACATGGAATCTTCGCATTGCATATCACCCCCCTAACGGGGTTGGTGTATACTTAGATTTGGGTGATTGGACTATCTTGTATTATAAATATCTTAATTCTTGTAAAGAATAGTAAGCATGTGCTATAAATTGACATTCTTGACCTCTTTATCTTTTGTAGAATCTAAAATCAAAATTGACAATGTGGAAGCTTGGAACACTACCTCCTGCTTTGATCGCATTCAAAGGTCACGTTCACCCCATTGACCCTTCATGGCACATGCTTGGCTTGGGCTATCAGAATAAGTCCAACATTGAGGACGTAAAGAAGGCTGCTGTAATTCATTACAATGGCCAGTCCAAACCTTGGCTCGAGTTAGGCTTTGAGCATCTCCGTCCTTTTTGGACCAAGTATGTAGACTACTCGAACGATTTTATTAAGAATTGCCACATATTGGAGTAATCAATGGATTATACTTCAAGGACAAAACACAAAGCAGGAATCCGAATGAACCTTTTTGGCTAGGAAACTTCAAGATCCAATTAAAAGGAGATTCTTAGACTGGCTGAATTTGGTCAGGTATATTCAGGTTATCGGATTTGCTGCTTTGGCTCACTTCTATGAAGAGAACCTGCATTTCTAGCATTGGTATAAGATTCATTCTTTCAGTCTGTAAGAAGTTCATCTATTTTCGTTGAGCGGAGAAAAAGGACATTCTTTTTGGCCTCTTAGCTGGGGTGTAGCTTATTGTCACTATTGTTTAGGGGGCAGAAAATGCTACTCATTTGCCATTGGTGATAGGAGCTGATATGAGAAGAAAAACTAGGATGCAGGCCATGTTGAAAAGCTCCTACTTTGGCCCCCTTAGATTTAGAGTTAATTCTTTTATCTTAAAATATTGAATCTTTTTCTTTATATTGTTGTCATCACCCACATTTCAACTTCTATTACTTGATTTAATTATCTCTATCATATTAGACTTTATGGAGATTTTTGTCATAATGTCCCACATAGTGGGGAACTACTTTGTACTTGTATGAGTAAAAATGGCGTGTGGTAGCCACTATTGAAGGTGATATTTATTTTTTATCCAGCAATTCTAATGTTGAGAAAAAATAGTCACTGCTCTATTAAAATTAATATGAAAAAATATTTTTATCCTTTCTTCCATTGTTTTTCTTCTCAAACTCTCGCTTCTTTCTCTCAAATTCGATGCAGAAACATTTATCATTCGTAAGTTTGTGAAAATGATGATAAACGTCGGACAGAACTTAGAAGCGCAAAAGCATTAATAAAAATTCATAATTTCTTTCTTTGTTCTTTTCGGATGTCCTTATCATTGTTCTTTTATCATTAATTTAATTTTTGTTAACTCGTCAACGTACCAAACAAGAAATTGTAGGATGATTTGGTTGTTACTCTCTGAAATTGTACTCTTATTTTCTTTAGATTTGTAATTCTTTCAATTTTATTTATTGGAACATTCAATAGCAAACTACGATGATTCTGGAAGAATTTTGTGCACTTCATTTGACATCAATCTTATATGTAGATTGCAATTATTATTATTATTATTATTATTATTATTATTATTATTATTTTGTGAAAAGATACAAATAACGTTTGGTTTTCTGCTACGTTATGGATCCTGAACTTATAGTTACAAGTTCAGAAGTTAAGGACAATTGGTCCTGAACTTCGAGTTCCAAGTTCAAAAGTTAAGGACACTTGATCCTGAACTTACAGTTACAAGTTCAAAAGTTAAGGACAATAGGTCCTGAACATAGGCTAAGAAGCCCAAAAGTTAAGGACAATAGGTCCTGAACTTACAGTTACAAGTTCAAAAGTTAAGGACAATAGGTCCTGAAGTCCTGAACTTAGATTAATAAGCTCAAAAGTTAAGGACAATAGGTCATGAACTTAGGCTAGAAGCCCAAAAGTTAAGGACAATAGGTCTTGAAGTCCTGAACTTAGACTAACAAGCTCAAAAGTTAAGGACACTCGGTCCTGAACTTACAATTACAAGTTCAAAAGTTAAGGACATGTAGTCTTGAAGTCCTGAAGTTAAGTTCAAAAGTTAAGGACATGTAGTCCTGAAGTCCTCAACTTAGAGTTTCAAGTTCAAAAGTTAAGGACATGTAGTTCTGAAGTCCTGAACTTAGAGTTACAAGTTCAAAAGTTAAAGACATGTAGTCCTGAAGTCGTGAAGTTAAGTTCCAAAGTTAAGGACATGAGCAAAAGGGTATTTTCGTCCGGGCAGTTAAAATTTATTAAAGCAGTGGTTAAAGACTAAAGACATTTTAAACAGTGGCTTTAAAGTAAATACATATGTTATTAATGGCTAGCTGTGTAGTTCCCCCCAGNGTTCATGAGATGCAATTGCTATATGCAGAAATTCTTTTATGTACCAAGTTTTCCACTTACATACCTTTACCTGTATTCAAGTGCTTGAGTTTAAGTTCTCACTGTAAAAAATGTGTATGCAATCATGTGAAATTACAAGGCAATTACGAGAAAAATTCTATGACAAGTAGTACAAACTAAACCGAAAAACCGCACCAAACCGAAAAGTCAAACTAAACTGATTAAAAAATCCGACTAGGTTTGGTTTGGTATTGAATAAAAAAAACCAAAGTAAACCGACATATAAATATATAATTTTTTTATATATTTTTAAGACTTTATATAGAATTTTCCTTACAAAAATTCTAGAAATATTTGGGATTTTCTTATGGATGTAATATTTAGGCCTCATTTGTTTGCACTTAATGGAGATCTGAATCTTAATCATTCAGATCTCACACATTAAGTGTGTTTGTTTAAAGTCTGAATCTTAATTATTCAAATCTTAATCATTAAGTGTGTTTGTTTTTTTTACTTCATAACTACTTAATGAGTCTGAATAGGTCTGTATGATTAAGATCTATTACAGAGACTTAATTTCATTAAGATGCTATCACATATTCATTATTAACTACCGCCACTGCCTACCATTATCAACTACCGCCACGCCACCACCACCACCATACTCAACCACCACCACCACTATTACCACCACCACCATACTCAACCACCACCACCATCATACTCAATCATAGTCGCCATCATTATCGACCATCACCATCCACCATCCTCACCACTCCGACCATCATCATTCTCACCTACAGTCAATACTTATCCACCTCAACTATCACAACCAACCACTCCACCACTATTAACAACCACAGCGGACACCACCCATCATTATAACCTACCACCACCTTCCTCAATCACAAACCACCACCCGCCATGATTAACTAACACCACCCACCACCACCATCCTCAATCATAATCGCCACCACTACCAAACATTACTAGCTACTAGCATGAACCACCATCATCAACCAAAACTACCACCAACCACCGCCTCTAGTCGGTATTCACCCGTTAGCCATCACCAACAATAACTATCATATTTTAAAAAACTATATATTTTATTGATAGAATATTAGATTAGTTAGTATTTCATTTGAATTTTATGTTTATTATTTTTTAAATAAAGATAAATTTTATGCATTCAGATGTTAAAAATCAAACAATCTTAATTTTTAGTATTCAGATCTTAATACACATTTTAATATATTCAGATGTGTATTCAGATTCAGATGTCTTATTCTTAATACACATCTTGATATTCAGATGTGTATTCAGATTCAGATGTCTTATTCTTAATACACATCTTGATATTCAGATGTGTATTCAGATTCAGACGTCTTAATCTTAAAGAAAACAAATGAAGCCTTAATAGAATATGAAGTATTCCATTTTTATTAACCTTAAGTAATGAGTTATATGATCGCTTTCTTATCAAGTGCTACTGAAATGCGTTAATCTTTTTTTTTTCTTCCATCTTCATATGTCAATATTTATTAAATTCTTATATATTTTTCGAATTTGAAGTGGTATTTCGACAATCTAAAATTAAATATAACATATCATTAATTAGGTATCATATTGGTTTATATGTTTAATTAGTAAATTCATTTAACCTTGAAAGTATACATAAAAAAAAATTATTGTAAGACTACTAAAAAAGTAACTATCATGTGTTATTAACAAAATTCTCTCGTAAAATTATTTTAATAGATCATATGTTTGTCAATTTTTACAAAACATATATTTACTTATAAAAATAATTAACAAAGTAATATTGAAATAATATTCATGTAACAAAAATCTGAAAAAAACCGACAAAATCGAACCGATCCATATCGATATAGTTGGTTTGGTTTAGTTTTAATAAAAATCGAACCGACCCAGTCCATGTACACTCCTAATGACGAACATTAATAAAATGGTACTCCCTCCGGTCTATTTTAAGTGCTTTTTGGCTCTTTTCACACATATTAAGGAATTCACCGTTCATCATTAATTAATAATGAAATTGACCATATTAACCTTAATTTGCTCATTGAAAATAGAGTAAATATCCTAAAATCTGCCTAAACTATCACCTTTTTGTAAGTTTCCTACTTAAACTATCGTCTGCCCCCAAAACCCCCTCGAACTATATCCTTCTTCGTATTAAAACCCCTTTGCTGCTTATGTGACGTATTGTGTGTAACAACTCGTGAAAGAGAGCGTGAAGGCTAGAAAAATCCATCAAAATGGCTCACATAGCAGTGTCTAACTGCTAATTAGCCTTTATTTTTTCTAAAATTTTGTATGTTGTATTTTTATTTTTCTCATTTTTTTATATTTCATTCTTCTTCTTCTTCTTCTTCTTCTTCTTCTTCTTCTTCTTCTTCTTCTTCTTCTTCATTCTTTCACCTTTCTTCTCTATTTTTTCACCTTTCTCCTCCATTTCTCCATCTGGTTTAATCTGAAATTCTTCCTCTCTCGTTATTGAATTCTCTTCAAGCTTTTAAAAAATATTTGCAGAACAAGATATATGAGAACAATAGAGTTTTCAGTATGCAAGAGAGATAACCCACATAAAAATTCTATTATATATTTAAAAAGTACATTCGCCTATTTCCTTCGTGCAACTCTTTCTTCTGTACTCAAGTGGAAAAGAGTGGATGAAGTTGGTGACTGTAATTTATTTCGGTAGGATGCGGAAGACTTAGAACTGACAGGAAATACCAACAATAAGAGAGAACAAATGGCAAACAATAGTGAACCGATTTTATATTAAACAACCCAAATTAAATACTTTGCAGAAAGAAGACAATCACTGTCTTAACGGAAATAACCCAATAACCCAAATCAAGGGTTATTAGGAACAAATGAAAGTCAGAACAAAGCTAAATGGAGAAGATTGCTAGTAAGAGAAAGAGAAGCCATTATCGAAAGATTGGAGAGAGAGGGGGATTTTAGTACTTAATATTTTTTGCCCTACACCTCCTATATATTTTAATCGGGTGAATAATATGTACCTATTTAATAGATTGGGATAAATATTTAAAATACGTAATTAAGTTATTTTTTATTAGGCTAATTAATATTCATGTGGAGTGCCATGGCACATTTCTTACAAATTTACGAGAGTGTATCATCTACACCATTAAAAATGCGACAGGATTATTTTAATATGAAGGAAGATATAGTTCTGAGGGATTTTGGGGACATGCGATAACTTAGGTAGGAAACTGACAAAAAGGTGATAGTTCTAAGGTATTTACTCTAAAATATAACAAATTATTCCTAGACTCTTTACTCCAAGGGCAACTTTGGAAAGAAGAAGTTAATTCCTTCTTGATATTTGAAAAAATCAAATATTGTGGACCACAAAAAAAGGGTTTTGGCATAGTATAACATACCCATATAATTGGCAGAAAATAGCCCTAATTATAGATATTGACATCAAATAGCCAATAAATATATATCACAATAATAATATGTATATCACAATTTTTTTCTTCTTCTTTGTCTATATCACCATGTATATTAAAATTTTATTTTTATTCTTTGTATATAAATAATATTATTCTTTGTATATCAATAATATAAAATTATATATATATAGTTATTGCTGCCTTTATATCATTGTATATCACAATAAAAATATTGTATTATTTGTATATTACAGTGTATA